GTGCCCGCCACGTAGCGCCGCAGCAGCGCCGTCTTGCCCACCCCCGCGTCCCCGAGCAGCAGCACCCGAAACTGGTAGCAGCGGCTCCGCGCCTCCATGGCCCGCGCGCGGGCCCCGCCGGGCGAAGGGAGTAAAGCGCAAGAGGAGGGAGCGGGAGACGAGGGCGCCCCGCCCGCGCCCGCCCCATCCCCGCGCCCCCGCGCCCCGCCCACCCGGGCAGCCCTTTCTGAGCCCCATCGGCCCCGCTTGGTGCCTCCCGTTCAAGGTCCAGGTTCGGGGATCAGCAGCCCCTCTGCCGTCCACGCGGGCTGTGCGGGTCAGCGGGGCCCCACGGGGACTTGGGCGCAGCCTGGTAGAGGGGCAGCACAGACACGGCCCGCCCGCCCGCCCGCGGGCTTGGCGCCCGACCTTCGTGAAGACAAAGGATCCGTTGTTTTTGCTCTGTGGTTGGCCATCGTGTGCCCGTGGAGAGCAGCGGTGTCTCAGAGGTGTGGGTAGTCCAGGCGGCACGGCCCACTTCGGACTCAGCCTGCCTTACACCTTTGATGCCACAAAAGGGGACTTCGAGGCAGGCCCTGTGCCAACCAGGACACTTGGGTTAGGGGCTAGGTTAAGGCAGGCACGCGGCCTTGCAAGCCAGGCTTTGAGACGCAGGGCATGAAGGCTGGAGTTCTGGTCCCAAACAGCCCCCTGGTCAACACCGCGCCCTGCGGGTGGGCTGGACCAGCTTCCTTGGTTGGTTGGGAAGTGCTACAGCAGACTTTTTTTTTGGTGGGGGGTGGTAGTCTTTTTGAGATGGTCTCGCTGTGCAATTCAGGCTGGCCTTGAGCTCACTTTGTCTTCCAGGCTGGTCTCAAACTTGCAACAATCCTCCTGCCTCAGCCTCGGAGTGCTGGGATTACAGGTGTGCACCACCATGCCGGGCTCTAACAACAGCAAACTCATATCATTAGGTCTCTTATTCCGCCCACATTTAGGTGAAGGACCCATGGCTCAGAGAAGCTAAATCCTAAGATCATAAGGAAGACGGATCATAAGAATCCTAAGGAAGACGGAGGCTGGCTCCAAGTCTACCCAGGGCCAACATTTTGCTCGCTATTACTATTTATTTTCTTTTGTTTTCTGAGACAGCTTCTCCCTATGTAGTTCAGGCTAGCCTTGAACTCAAGGCAATCCTCCTGCCTCAGCCTCCTCAGTGCTTGGATTGTAGGCATGTGCCACCATGCCTGGCTTCTATTTCTGTTTCTGGGTTTCTGGAAAAACCCAGGTTTCTTCTGGATGATTCTAAAAACTCCATGAGCATGCATTTCATCCGTTCTCAAAAATAATTCTGGCAGGGCACCTGGGCCACGGCAGAAGCAAGAAACAGCTGGGAAATCAGCTGGAACCCAGCGTTCCCTGAAGCCTTGCTGGTCAGCCGGCCAGGCAGTGCACTGTCAGCACTGAACTCCTTGAACTTCCTCCCGCTTCCGTGCTGCAGGCTGGGGTCCTGTCTGCCTCCACTGCATCTGACACCAGACCCACAGTTTAGATGTCAGCTGACCCGTGTTATGGATTCGTTGTGCAACCCAGGGAGCAAGCCACTTCCCTTTCCTGAACTCTGGATCTTCTGCTAACCAAGGCAGTCCTGATGAAGGCCCTTGCAGGGCGGATGTGGAGGAACTGTGGGACACAGCAGCTGAGGTTATGCGTATTTCCATTAGCACAGCTGGGTGGTAGGTCCAGTTGCCACTTCTTAGTTATGGCCACAGTTCATTTGGTAATTATTCCCATAAGTGCTGGCCATCTTTTATATGCCAGGCACATATATAGCATGGGGGGGGGCAAAATCTTGCTCTTTTTTTTTTTTTCCGGTACCAGGAATCAAACTCACGACCTTGTGCTTGCCAGCAGGCGCTGTGCCGCTGAGCTAAATCCCCAGCCCCAAAATGCTTGCTCTTAAAACAGGTGTGTTGGGGCATGCTTGCAGTCTCAGCACTCTAGGAGGCTGAGGCAGGAAGACAAAGTTCAGATCTAGCCTAGGCAACATAATGACTTAGTGAGACCCTGTCTCAAAATCAAAAAATAAGAACTGGGAATGTTACTCCGTGCAAAGCTCCTAAGTTCAACCCCCAGTAATCCCAGCAAAAAATTCCTGCTGTGTGGAGTTCGTATTCTAATGAGTTCATATTCTAATAAGGAAGAGAGAAGACTTACACATGCAGAATGTGACCTCAGGGAACAGAATTATAAAGAACAAGCAGGACAATAGTCTGAAGGGTGGCTGGTGCTGTATAAGACAGGATGGCCTGAGCAAGTGACATGCGAACAGAGACCCGGGGGAAGAGAGCAAGTTCCTGCGCTTGTCTGCGCTGTCCAGCAAAGAATACCAGGCAGTGTCGGTTTCTGTGGGGTGACAGGTCCCGAAAACGAGGTGCAGTGCATGAAAAGAAAAACAACAGAGACAAAGTTATGGGATCAGGGCCACAGCCTCTAGGACTGAAGCCTCGATTACAATTAGCCTTTATTAAGATTTCCTAACATAAAGCAAGAATGGGGGAAATGTGAGGAATGATTAACAAGATTAGTGAGGGCAATATAGCTTAGTTATCCCAGGGGCTCTGGCTCACCTAGCCGACATGTAACCACTCCTTCAGACATGTCTCAGCAAAGCATGTCGTGCTGTCCCAGTGGCTTTCCACAGGGACGAAGGTCGTGCTTTCATTTCCTTTTACATTAGTGCTTTTGCTAGACTTCCTCCAGAACAATCATATGGCCTGGTCAGGCTCTAAGTCCCATACAGGTTATGCACTGAAAGGTAAACTATAGAATGTCCTTCTCCACATTTCCCCCTTTGTGTGGCTACAATCTTTTTTTTTGAGACAGGGTCTCACTATGCAGTTCAGGCTGGCCTTGAGCTCACTTTGTAGCCCAGGCTGGTCTCAAACCTGCAAGATCCTTCTGCCTCAGCCTCCCAAGAGCTGGGATTACAGGCATGCACTAGCATGCCCGGCTATTGTTTTGCTGCAATCTTTTGAAGTACGAGAAGGCTGTGATTTGTTTTTATTTCCTGGCATTTTCTGAGTTGGAGGAATGAGGGTCCTATGAGGCTCTCTTACTCTATTTTTTTTTTTTCTTGGTACTGAGACTCGAACTCAGGACCTTGCACTTGTCAGGCAGGTGTTTATGCCACTGAGCTATTTCCCCAGCCCTCCTGGCGTTTTCTGATTGAGCATCTCCAGACTACAAAAAGGAACAAAGAACAATTATAATACCACAGAACGATGGTAGATGTTTGGAAAAAATGTAATTGTTTTAAAGGATTCAAATGCTGTATTCCTTTGCCCACAGCTTGTAACTAATCAGTTCCTTGTAGTAATTCTAGTTTGTTGTTAAATGTCTCAAATATTTTTTTCTATAAAACTTTTTTTAGCATTTTCCCAAGGGAAAATTGTATTATTATAGTGATGAGGAGTAACACAAAAAGAGCTATTTTGATCACATTTAAGCCATAACTGTTTTTGTAAACTAATTGATCTCCCAACAATACCACCACTTGTTGCAGATCTGCTATGTGAGTCGCCAGTTTTTCTTTCTTTCTTTCTTTCTTTCTTTCTTTACTTATTTTTTGGGTGTTTTGTTTTGTTTTTCTGGTACCGGGAACCGAACTCACGACCTTGCGCTTGCCAGGCGGGCGCTGTGCCACTGAGCTAAATCCCCAGCCCAAGTCGCCAATTTTTTACCTGTAGAATGCTGAATTTGCCATAACTTATCAGAACGTTCATGCCACGTTTGCACAAGTTGAGCAGTTTGTACTGACTGACGAAGGGCTACTCCAGCTACTGCTGCAGTGGCCATGATGTTAATAATTTCTAATATAACTGCAATCAGAATCTCTATAAATCTCTTGCCACATTTTATTAAATCTATAAAATTGTATCTATAAAATTGTGCAACATGTAAGCGGCTGTGGTTTGCTGCCATGGTTTTTCACAGTCAACAGGTATCCAGATCCCTGCTCATTGTATAAGAATATATACACTATCTTTGGAATGATAGAAGTATTTTTTTTTTTTTTTTTGTGCCGGTAATCGAACTCAGGACCTTGCACTTGCCAGGCAGGCACTTGTGCTGCTGAGCCATATCCCCGGCCCAATTGAAATATTTAAACAGGTATAATAACTACAATTAGTACACCTACACAGGAACTTAGAAGCATTTTAATGTGCTTTGCTGATCGTGATGACATAAGGAAGACGAACACATGCTTGTGTGGAATGAGTAGAATTAATGGAAAAAGAGAGTTGAGTGCTGCTCCCGTATTTAGGGTAAGACCCCTTCCAAGCACGTACAGGATGTACATAATGCTGACATGAACTTCCGCGAAGAGGGCTGAGGAGGACCACGTTCCATTTTAGGTTGGGGTTCCCACATGTCTCCATCATGCCGCACAATAGATCCATTTGCCTGGGTACTTACAGTATTGTTCTTGCTACTCGGTTTTAGATCCCTGATGGAATGCTTAGCTTGAGCAGAGCCATGAGGGCTCCACTGATGCTTCCATAGAAGTACTAAATAAAACTCGGCCAGTACGGACCTACATGCCTCCCAATTAACCCAATCACACATTTTTGTTGTTACCCGTTGATGGCATGGTGGTATTTTGGAGGAGTAAAATTATCAAAAGTCAATCTTTTGAAAGCCCAAGCTTGCAATAAAAATACAGATATATGGCTATGATCAGTAGAACTATTTCTGACGGTTGATAACCAAGCTCTGGCCGGGTGTGGTGGCACATGCCTGTAATCCCAGCACTTGGGAGGCTGAGGCAGGAGGATGGTTGCGAGTTCGAGACCAGCCTGGGCTACAAAGTGAGCTTAAGGCCAGCCTGAACTGCATAGTGAGACCCTGTCTCAAAAAGACAAAAACTGTAACAATAACTGTTACTATATTTTTATTAGGTAACTTTTTTGTGTGCTACTGGGGATTGAGCTTCAGGCACAAAGCGGTGGGCAGATAGGACTTAAAGGGACTTGAACAAGGCTGGGGATTTAGCTCAGCGGCACAGCTCCTGCCCGGCAAGAGTGAGGTCGTGAGTTCGACTCCCGGTACCGAAAAAAAAAAGGGGGGGGCTTGAACTTTCGACCCTATTGCCTCACCCTCCCAGAGTGCAGGGACTACTGGTGCGCACCACTCCGTCTGCTTATCCTACTTTTTAAGGGTGTAAGGACAAAAATTAACAGATTAAGTATAGGTGCTTAACCCTAGGTAACTACTACTGTGTTGCCGCTTGTTCATTCCACGGGCCCCAAAGAGCACGCGGCAGTGTCTATGCGGGCAGTCTCCGGGATTGACCTGGATCCTCCCTTGCCAGCTGTGCAAACCTTTCCTTATGTGTAAAAACGGCATAATTATGATTCCTGTGCCCGGGATCATTCTGAACTCTACGTAAGTAACCGAGCGCAGAGGAAAGAGGTGGCGCTTACTAGTTATTTACGTACTAGCGGACGAGGCGCGCCGCGAAGCCTCAAACAAATAACGCAGCCCAGCCCTCACTGCTTCCCCCAGAACCGTCCGCCGCCGAAGCGACTCTCTCAGCTCCCGCCCAGCCCGCAGCGCTCGGGGCTCCGCCCTTCCCAGTGCACAGGGTTAACTCAAAGTCGCCCCAGGGAATGGGTCTGAGGGCAGGGCGGGTTGCTTCAGGGAGGGGCCCTGGAACGGACCTCAATGTTCCAGGATACAAGAGTAATTCACAAGTCTCTTCCACGCGAACGGAAGCCACTTACGTTACACGACGCCACTGCGTCGCCGCCCGGCCAGGCCGGCACGTTCGGTGGGGCGGGGTCAAGGCGCGCGAACTACAGTTCCCAGCGGCTCCGCGCGGAAGGCGCAGGCGCAGTCGGTCGAATAGCGGACCTATATAAGGGCCCTGCGCGCGTTCTCGGGCCTTTTCTGCTGGCCGCTTCGTAGTGGTTGTGTGTGTAGGGGTCTTAGCTCCTTGCCCATCCCCCACCATGAGCTGGCCACCACCGGCCCGCTCTCGGCAGTTCTGCGTCCCAAGGTTGCAGGATGAGCGGCGCGGAGCCGGGCCTGCCGCGTGCGCAGTAAAAGGTCTAGGCGGCGCCGCGCCCTCCAGCCTGAGAGCACGCAGCCCAGTGGGTGAGTGACGCGAGGCCGAGCGGGCACGCGAAAGGGTGGAGGACTTGTATCCCGGGTGCTGAGGGCTGCGGATGTGTCTGTCCAGGGTCTGAGACGACCTAATTCGGGGTGGGGGGACAGTTGAATCGGCCTGTGACATTTATTAGTTGGGTGACCTAGAGGACACCTTGGTGGAAGTAAAGACAGGCGTTTCAGAAGGCCAGATTTTAGAATCACCCTCTTGACCTGCGGTGCTGGGGATGAGTCCCAGGGCCTGGAGCACACTAGGCAAGAGCTCTACTACGGTGCTAGACCTCCAGCCCTGAGTCTCCCGACTTTTAAAATGGTACAGTGCGGCCGGGCGCGGTGGCGCACGCCTGTAATCCCAGCACTTGGGAGGCTGAGGCAGGAGGATCGTTGGCGCGTTGGAGACCAGCATGGGCTGCTCAGTGAGCTCAAGGGCAGCCTGAACTGCATAGCGAGACCCTGTCTCAAAAAGGCAAAAAAAAAAAAAAAAAAGTACAGTGCTGTAATGCATGCCTGTAGCCTTAGCTTTTCCAAGACGCCGGGGCAGGAGAATCACTACAAATTCAAAGCCAGCCACGCTGTCCGGGGAAAAACGGCTGGAGGTAACACTGCAGAGAGCTTGTGTACGTGCGGAGGCTGTAGCGTGAAGCCCCGCTACTGCAAAACACAAATGGAACTGTAAAGGTACCACACAAACACGGGTAAATGGCTCTTTGGGGCGTAGGATGGCTGGTACTTCCCGTTTTGGGGTCTCCGGTAGGTAATTATATAGGATTTAGGTCAGTGGCTCAGCAATTTGGTTTCAGTTCTTGTGTCTTTAATTGTTCGGTGGCCCTTATCGAAGCTGCAGCTGCTTCCCTGTAGTTGCTGCAGTCAAAAAGGAGCCCAGAGTAACATTTTCCTTGACGGTCGCCGTTCTGTTTGCTGTAACTGATCTGCAACATTTTGGGGAAAGACAGTTCCACTGTGCCTGCCATGGATCGCTGGCAGCCTTACTTTCTTAGTGGGGGGGTGGCGATAAGGGGAGTCGAACTTAGGACCTTGCGCTTGCCAGGCAGGAGCTTGTGCAGCTGCAGCTGAGCTATATCTCCGGCCCTGGCAGCCTTCCTTCAAACTGGCATGTTTCGTGTAGAGTTGATAGAATAAGGCTTTGGAGAAGTAACTTCCTGAGCCCAAGAACCTGTGTGGAGGGACAGGTGGTGTAAACACATCCCGAGATGATTAGTGGCACAGGGCCTGGCAATGCTTTGGGTCACAGCCCTGAAAAAGCTAAGGCACAGTATGAGAACCAGTGCCACGTAAACCTTTGTGGTTTTGGCAGCTTGAGGAAAGGAAAGAAGATCCTGACAGTTGTGCTTGTTTTGCAGCTGTGCCAGGTGGAAGACTCCATGGAGGTGACTGAGAACGTTACAAGCTTAAGACCTGGTAGGTTTCTTCGGGGACTTTGGGAGCTGCCAGAACAGCATGTTTCCAAGGGCTGTGGCTGGCGTGGCCATGGGATCTCCAACTGCATGCGAGAGCAACCTGGAGAGACTTTGACAGCTCAGGTCAACCCAATACCTGTGGCTGCCACTCACCTTTCCTATAAGGCACAGCACCTGGGCTGGAGTCCAGGTGCAGCCCCTCACTGCACATGCATAGGTGGTGGTGAACTGATCCACCTTGGTTTATTTCTGTATTTTTTGTCTTTTTGAGACAGGGTCTCGCTATGCTGTTCACGCTGGCCTTGAGCTCACTTTGTAGCCCAGGCTGGCCTCGAACTTGCAACGATCCTCCTGCCTCAGCCTCCTGAGGGCTGGCATTACTGGCGTGTGCTACCATGCCCGGCCCACCTTGGTTTAGACCGAAGCTTTCACACTGTATTTGTTCTATAGGTATCCCCAGATTTCCTGGCAGTAGCTGATGCTGAAGAGACCATTTGTCTCTGGAGCTGTGCCTAGACTAAGGTAAGGCTGATAGGGAAGACGGCCTGACCCTCCAGTTCCCTTTCCCATCGGATCTGAACACTGGTCTTGGTGGTCGTAAAGGAGGAAAAGGAATGCTGAAGCTGGCCTCACAGCCTTATAGTCTGATATATAGCATGTGGGCTAGTTTCCAACAGAGTTGAATTGTCTTTGAAGTATTTTCCTCATCCCCTGTAAGGTGGAGATAATCTGAGGTTGTGTGTGTATTTTTAAAGACAGGGTCTCACTATAGTTCAGCTTGCCCTTGAACTATGTAGCTCAAAATGACTGCTCCCCCCCCCCCAGCCTGTCTCAAAATAGAGTGCTGGGATACAGGTTAGTGAGAAGGCCTCGGTTCTGCCCCCAGTACTACAGGATACAAGACGAATGTCAAGCTGCAGGCGGTTGATGTAGCAGATGCCAATTACTGTATTTTTGAGGTGCTTATCTCTTGATAGTTCCTATTTTTTTAATCCATGTAACCAATAAACGTGTTCTCACCTGTGGTTTTTTTTTTTTTTTAAAGAGACATGGTCTCACTCCAGACCAGGCGTTTGCAGTCCCCTGCCTCAGCATCAGCCTGCTGGGCAGGCAGTCGCACACTACTACCTCGCCCAGCATCTGTGGTTACTGTTCTAGAGTTTGGTGAGTAAATGAGATGAGCCTATAATAAAAGGGTACAGCCTTTCTGTAGGTTTGCATTTGACCTGGGCGCCATGTTTGTTATTTATAACATAGCTTGGTGTGTTGAGTTTGGCTATGTTAAGGGTCGTGGGCACAAGGAAATAGCTCTGCACCTTGGGGAGCAAGGAATGAGCTGCAAATTTTTCAGAGACTAGAAACCAGTAGGTTAGGTGCTTCAGATCACTGGTCCAGGATGAAACCTAATCTGAGTGGACATCTGTGGATGAGAAATGCGGATATGGGACTGAGACCAGTGCTTAGGAAAGAGCCTCAGTGGTGATTAATCAGGGCATCACTAACACACAGGCCCACACTTTCTTTTCAGGGGAGTCCACGGGAAAGAAGACAGGCAAAGATGAACAGATGTAGATGACAACCAGCAAGTTCTGTAAAGAACTTTTGCTATGGTGAACATACTGTGACTACAGGTTGATCAATAAAGACTTTGGAACTACCTTGTCTGTCAAACTGTTAATTAAAACTGATAATTTCTGAGACAGGGTCTCACTAGTTCAGGCTGGCCTTGAACTCAAAGCGATCCTGCCTCAGCCTTCCTAGTGCTGGGATTATAGGGAGCCAACACCTATCTGGTTTACTGTTCGTTGTTTTTTTTTTTTTTTTTTTTTTTATCAAAAGCCACAAATCTGTCAGGAGGGGCCAATTAAGTAAGCAGTTGAAAGGTAGAATGTTATCCTTGGCATGAAGGTCTAGTCTGGTGCCAGATCTTTACCATGTTGCCCTTTCTAATCTACCACTGTTCTTGTGAGTTGAATATTTAATGCAGTTGAGTGAGGCCCTGTGGACACAGGATAGCTTTCAGCAGGCCTTGCAAATGCAAGGTCTTAAGCCTTGGGGCACAGGTGTCAGTACTGTTGCAGGTGATTCTCCAGCCACAGTGCCCAGTTCCAGGGTGCTGTAGGTTGTGACTACTCAGTTTCTACTCACACTGGTCTGTGCCCCTTTATCCTGGGTGCTAGAGCTGGAATCAGCCTATTGGGGGTGTGCTGCCCTAAAATACCATATGCTGACATGCAGCAGGTGTCCCTGAACACTGGGCTTTGGAAAACAGGCCCATGATCCACTGGCTAATCCTTACACTTTGCTCAAGTGTGAATAACCATGAAATAGCTGTTCACAAACTTTGACAGTTGGTTTCTGCTCAAATGACTCAAATGAAAGTGCACTGTGTTGAAGATACCAAAGTATAGTACAACTACTGATAACCTCCTACCTCTTGTCTGTAACTATTTGTGTGTTTGTTTTCCTGAGAAACTATCTTGTAGATAACAATATGTAAAACAATGACCATTGATAATTTCCTACCACTTTGTAATTTGGTTAAGCCCCCCCATTATGTTATCCTTTCACTCTTTAAAATAAACAACAAAAAAATGCATTGTGGAAATACTCATAGTATCAGGAAAGTTATTAAAATCTTACAAATAATTTCTGAAAAGGTAAAAGTTTTCACATTTAAAAAAAAAGCCTCCTCTTCCCACAGTCCATGCTGGTTTGGCCTTTGTCTTAGCTACATCACAGCTGGGATCTCTGAAGACACCGAGTCCAGGGGCTGCCAGTGGCAGTCCATCAGTGCGTCATACAGCTCCTCACTCTGCTCCATGAACTCCTTGTTGGCCTCTGTCACGTCCAGCTGTGGTGTGGGGTCTGGGAGAAAGCAAGGCTGGGGTCAGGGCAAGTTGAGGGAATAAGCATTGAACACATACACCAGTGGCTTGGATTTAGCTTCCTATTCCAGGCCTCTCCTAGGGTAAGGTGGGGAGGATGAAATCGGTGCCGAGCCCACACTTCATCCCAGCATTGGGAAGCTCAGCTCAGCCTGGGTGACTGAGACCCTCAGTGAATTAAAGAAGGGCTGGGTAGCTCAGGGCAGAGGCGCTGGGTTTTAAAGTAGCTTAAAAGAAGAAAGAATTCAGTGATACTGGGTTTTCCTTCCACATCTGTTAAAAGCTATGCCTCCACCTCTGGTCACACCCTGGTTTTTCTGCCCTGGTCTTCACTTGAAATTTGGGTTTTGAAGGTAGGTGAGGTGGCACACACCTTTAAATCCAGCTTGGGAAAGTGAACCAGGAGGATCTCAAGTTTGAGGCCTGAGCAACTGCGCAAGACCCTATCAAAAAATGGGGTTGGGGAGCTGGGTATGCTGGGGCATGGGAGGCTGAGGCAGGATCGCTGTGAGTTGGAGGCCAGCCTGGGCAAGAATCTCAAAAAACAAGCAGGGGCAGGAGTAAGCTCAGTCAGTGGTAACATGCCCCTGCATCAATTCCAAGTAGAATGAACTACCAGCACAGGCTACAGTATGGACGAGCCGGCTAAGCAAAGGGAGCAGGCCCAGCAGGCTGGGCATGGCCTGGACAACTAAAGAGCGAAACTCAAAACTTAAAAGGCTGGGGAAGTGGCCCAGTGTGAGGCCCTCAGTTCATCTGCAGTGCTGCAAAAACAAATTTTAAAAATACCACACAGAGCTAGGGATACGGTTCAGTGGTAATGCTTGCCTGGCATGCACAAGGCGTTGCGTACAGTCTCTAGTACTGGCAAGGAAAAAGACTGTATTACACGATTCCACTTATTTAAAATGTCTAAAATAAGTCCAAAGAAGCAGAAAGTGGATGCCTGGTGACCAGCAGTGGAGGACCAGATACACAGTGACTGGTAATGGTCAGGCTTTGAGGGTTGATACTCTTGGAAAAAAACATGCCTTTCTTAGAAATGGTTCGAATCACTGGGTGTGGTGCTGCAGTTCAAGCTACTTGGAAGGCTGAGGCAGTAAGATCAGAAGTGTGCACCTCAACTGGGTAACTTACTGAAACCCCGCAATTTAAAAAAAGGGCTGGGGATATAGTTGAGTAGTTCAGTTTGTACAGCACTGGGTTTGATTCCCCAGGACCACAAAACAAAACACGGCTGCGTCACTGCAGCTGACAGTGACTGCTTGTACTCCCAGCTAATTAGGAAGTTGAGCCAGGAGGGTCTCAGGTTCAGGGCCACCCTAAAGGTCACCATTATTTATTAAACCTATCACATAGATAATTACCATTCAGGATGAAAACCTCAAGTAGAATTGCTGACACAAATGATATGAACTAAGCCAAGCACGGCGGCACACGCCTACAATCCCAGCACTGGGGAGTCTAAGGCAGGAGAATCTCAAAATGGAGGCCAGCGTGAGCTACATATTAAGATGATGTATTAAACACCACCAACTAAAGAAGCCCAGAGGATATGACCTAACTTTTTACAGAAACAGTATATTTTAGTTTGATTTTTTTTTTTTGGTCTTTTTGAGACAGGATCTCGCTGTATAGTTCAGGCTGCCCCTGAACTCACTCTCTAGCCCAGGCTGGCCTCGAACTTGCAGCAATCCTGCCTCAGCCTCCCAGTGCTGGGATTACAGTCGTGTGCCACCATGCCTGGCTTTAGTTTGCTTTTGACTGTTCGTATCAATCACGTTGACGATTAAATTTTAGGTGTCAATTTGGCTAACCTCTGGGGCCCAGCTGTGTGGTCGAAGACCCTTCTGTATGTTGCTGTGCAGGTATTTTATAGACATGACTGACATTTGCAATAGGTTGACTTTAAGGAAATTACCCTCAGTAATGCAAATAGGGCCCTATTTAATCTGTTGAAAGCCTTAAGAGGAAAAAAACGAATTCTCAAGGAATTCTGCTTCAAGACTTACTGTGAAAATCCAGCCTGAGTTTTCATTCTGCCAGTGGTACCCCACATATGTCAGCCAAGTGACATCAACTAGTATGTGGGTTTTCAGCCTGCCACAGACTTCAGACTTGGGAATTCCTACAAACCTGAGTCAGTTCTGTACATACATTTTTTTTAATAGATGCACACATCCTATTGGTTCTGTTTCTCTGTACAACTCTGTTAAAATAGCATGTTTATATTTCCTTATGTAATTTTTTTTTGGTTTTTATCATGTTGGGGATTGAAGCCAGGGTACTGTGAAGGCTAGGCAAGCACTACACTTACATACATCATAGTGTCACAAGCAATGTATGTGGCAAAACATGCTGGCTGTTACAACTGACAAAGAGGCTGAGAAAGTAGGAGTTATACACTGATACTGTAAGTAGGTTAATTATCTTCAAAAGAAAGGCAGTGTCTCTCAGGAGAGTGTACTAGACTTTGCCCCAAGTCACTATGTGGCCCTTAGTGGAACAAATGGACTTTCTGAGGGGCTGGGGATTTAGCTTAGTGGCATAAGCGCCTGCCTGGCAAGCACAAGGTCCTGAGTTCGGTTCCCGGTACCGGAAAAAAACCAAAAACCAAAACAAACAAATGGACTTTCTAGATTGCCAGTTCCCTTTGTCCAGTGACTATGCCACCTGCTGTTACAGTCAGCTGAGGATATACACATGAAAGTGTTGAAATTATTAAGAATTAGGTTTGATCTCTGCGTGAAGCTGATCTATTTCTTTCTTTTTTTTGAGACAGTTTTATTATTCAGTTTAGGCTGGCCTGTCTCAGCCTCTCAAATGCTGGGATTACAGGTGTGTGCCACCACGTCTGGCTTAGGTAATCTAAAGGACATTTTGCTGACAGAATACATTTTTCCCATAAAATTCCTTTTTTTTTTTTTTCTTCTTTCCTTTTTGAGACAGGCTCTTGCTATGCAGTCTAGGTTGGTCTTGAACTCACAGTGATCCTTCTTTCTCGGTATCCCTATCACCTACAGTGTTGGGACTGTAGGTGTGTGCCACCATTCCGAGCTCCTCCAAATCTCCCTTGAACAATTTCCAAAATTGAGATTTTGAACTTCTGAACTGGGCCAGATATAAGTCAGTGGCACAGCACCTGCCTGGCAAGTGCAAGGTCCTGAGTTGAATTCCTGGCACCAAAAAAAAAAAAAAAATCTTAAAAAAATTGTTTTTGTTAGCTGGGCATGGTGGCACACGCCTGCAACCCCAGCACTTGGGAGGCTGAGGCAGAAGGAGGGCTGTGGGTGAAGTGCCACATATCTAGGGAGTAATGGGCTCCTTGGGAACAGCACACACACCCTGGTCACATGTTGCTCTGTGTCCGCATTTGTCTCTCACACGGATGTGAATTAACCTCCAGAGCACAGTTTACCTTGCACTCCTCACCACCCAGGTGCAGGAACAGTGCGAGCCACAAGGCAATCATCTGGTAAGAGCTGACAGAGGAATAAAAGTGGATTCTTTCTTACCTTCCAGTGCATCATCGCCGACTTCTTCATATGTCTGTCAAGAGACCAGAGAGGCGAGTGAGCAGCCCGGTGGGAGCCTAGCCCATGATCACCGTGGTTTTTTAACAGGACTGTCGCTTTAGCTTTCCCCACCTTTCCCCAGCTTCCTGTTACCAGTCCCATGCCAGAGAATGACTTGTCCCAGAGGGGAAACGTAACCCAAGGGCCAGACTTGCCAAGACAGAAATACCTGCATAGTGCTCTGGGTGTAGCCAT